TGGGGGGTGTTTGTGGTGGGGGGGGGGGGGGGGGGGAGGATTATTTTTGTTGAGGGGGAAAAAAAACACTCTGGGAACATTTTATTGTGGCGCCTTTAATTTCAAGCACCAGTCTGCTCCCCTGCCACTGCCCCTGCTGTGTGTACATAGGGCACCAAGCAGGGAAAACAAAATGCCATGCTATGACACCCCCCCAGAAAGATGGTTGCGCACCGATGGTCTAGAGACCTGATCTGAAGCTATATGCATTTAGGAGACTGCACCCTTGCATCCTCAGTGGTGGGATATCAGCTTCAATCACCCCTTGTATAGAAAACAGTGTTAGTACTGAAAACAATGTTCCTAGGCACTTGTAAACTTCTGAAACCACCCCCAGACCCTTTGTTCCATCTTGCACCTTTCCCTGGGGACAAACTCACCATGTTTATGTTCTCACCGTGCTGCACGCTTGCCAACGGAAAAGTGAAAGATGTGTTTGTAACTTTTATGATTCAAGACTTAGAATGAACTCACAATACTGATTTTCATGGGGGTTGTTGTTTGTTTTTTGATTTTTTTTATTTTGTTTGCTTCTGCAGATGTGGCCTGGAAGGCCAACTCCTACATACCAGCAGAGTGCCCCAATCTGATAAGGAGCAAACGAGGAGTGAGGAGGACATATTTTGAGAAATGCTGCACTCAGCTAATCATTCAGATAGTGAGTACAGAGCATGGAAAGACAAACGAAAAATAGACAGCCAGAAGAGGAGATGGGCAAGAGCAGATGATAAAACCCATGAAGGACCAAACAGAGATGCTCAGGTCAGTTTGTGTTAAACTCCCACTGCCGCTCTTACAGAACTGTATTCCATGACCTTGTCAAACTCCCTACACATATTCCTTGCATGTTCCTAGCATGTCACAGTACCCCTTGCACTCCACCCCTAAGAATCAGTTCCATAACAACAGCTGGATTTACACACAGCTGCAAGAGCCTCATTTGAAAGAGTGCTATTTAATGTCATGTCCCTTGTAGGAAAATGAAATATTAGTCACAGAAATGATTGTGTCCTACACATGGTGGGTGAAGCAGAAATTCATACACAGTGACAAATCTGCACATATGTAGATTATAATTATGGTTCAGGCAACAATATGCACAAGGGTCATTCAAATAAACAATGCCTGCCTGAATGCAATACAAAAAAGACATTACTAGGGCTCACTGTCAGAACATTGCTTCAAAGCCTCATGCTGCTCCCCACTGAACCTCTCTGTGTCTGGGTGCTCAAATCAGTCACCAGGTGAGCCACCTCACCATTCCATGCTTTAGTAAACTTCTCCCCCCTTGGCTTCAAAATGTTATGCAGAGCACAGCAGACTGCTATGACCATGGGACTACTGTTCTCAGTGAAGCCTAACCTGCCAAAAGGGTAGCACAAGCAACCCTTTAATCTGTCAAAAGGGCATTTATGGTCATTCTCCACCTGCTGAGTCTAGTTGTTGAAGCGCTCCTTGCTGCTTTCAAGTTTTATGGTGTAAGGCATCATTAGCCACAGGGGTACAGTGTAAGCTGGGTCTCTCAGGATCACTGTAGGCACTTCCACATCCCCTACGGGGATCTTCTGCTCTGGAAATAAAGTCCCTGCATCCAGCTTTCTCTACAGGCCAATCAGGGCCAGCCCTTGACATAGGCGATGAGGGCTGCTACTCAAGGCGATGTGCTGATGGGAGTGCATTTGAATAGTCCCACGTAACCTTACTTAGAGCCAGCTGGCAATGCAGGAGGGGAAACAGCAGCCAGCTCAGCCAGGGTCAGGGAGGACAGAGGCACTCATTTACTTGTCTCAGGTAACTCTTGTGGTCTGGTGGCAGCAGCAGCAGGGTATGGGTGCCCAGGGGTGGGGCTCTCCATTATCCCCAGGACAGAGTGCCCCCTGTAGAAGCCATGTTGGAAGGGGGTGGGGCAGGCTATGCTGGAAGTGACTGTGGGAGAAAAATCAAATAACTCCAATTGCGTCTAAGGGGGGGACTGTGCAGGAAATCAAAACTCTCTAAAAGAAAACTGCTGTAAGGGTTAAAAGTTTTCCAGGCCTCTCTCTCTCTGTAACAGAGAGAAATCATCTTAACTCTAATCAAGACCCTTACAATGCCTCCTATCTCAACTTCATGGAGACCCCTAGTCTGTCACAATTTGTCATGTAAACTCTTATCTTGTCACAGTTTGTCTTGTAGACTCCTCACTCGGGTTATCATGTGCCTTTGTACTGTAAAACTGACTTCTAGCACACCTGGTGTGAACAGAAACAACTCAGAGTACTTCTGCTGAGACTTTGATATGTTAAAGAAAACAATCAACAACTAAACTGTCTGAACATATTGTATAAAGGACCCCTGAAACTGTCTCGCAAGGCAGGCACCACAGATTAATTTCCAGATTTGCAGCTCATGAAATACTGCAGGATCAGCTGCATTGTGTTCATAAACTCATCACAAGACTGGAGAGCACTGCAGGGTCCATGCTTTCAAGCAGAGAGGACATATGCAAAATTTGCAAGGGCAGTTGAGAAAACAGCACAAAATGTAGTCAAAAGCACATGGAATCATGAAATGGAGAAAACTATATTATGGACAGGGAGTCCGCTGCCCTGAAATCCATCCCAGAACTCCAAGTAGCAGATGGTGATGATTTGCACAGTAAGATAGCTACCCACAGTGCACTTATGGCACACAAAAAGCATTATATAAACATGTGCAAGCAACGTAATTAAGCAGTTTATGATTGTTGACAATAAACTGACAACTCTCAGATGTAGACATGACCTAAGTGTCCATGTGAAGACATGTCATGCACTAAAAGTTCTAGTGTGTGCTTTGATCTATGCTGTTTTGATAAGTTCTTAGTACTTAGAAGCCAAAGTACTAAAGACTTTCACTGAAATGTAGGTTCCTAAGTGTCTGTCGCTTTTGAAAAAGGGACTGATGACAGTCTACACTAGGATCTTGGATAGCTATGCTAATGTCTCTCGGGTACATAAATCCACACCCTTGAGATGTGAATAACTGAACCTAACCCCCTCTGTAGACAGCTCTTGGTAAACAAACAATTCTTCTGACAATCTAGATACTGTCTCTCAGGAAGGCTAATTAGCTACAGCAACTGGAGACCCCTTCCTAGTACTCTAGGGAGTCAAAGCTGCAGCTGTAGCATTTTAAGTGTAGACATACTGTGAAAAATCTAAGTGACTGAGGGATATTTTATATTTTTTTTAATCTTTAGTCTCACTAAATGATCTATAGAGGCATTACTGCTATATTTGTGCTTTAATTTACATGCTCCAGCTATGCCAATATTCAGTAGGCAAGAACAGTAAAAGGATGTTGTGGCAGAGGGACTAGGCCCAAAGCCCCCTGCTGGAGATGTATGGCCATGCCACATCAAGCCTGAGGAAAAACAGCAGAGGAGAAATCTTCCAGGCAAGCTAGAGTGGCTACTTCCACTGTGGCCAATCAGGGCATAGTGAGCCAGTGTAAAGAAGCTGCTGGGCCAGGACCTGGCAGTTCCCCTCTGGAGATCAAGCCAGGCAGACTCAGAGCTTCATTGACAGGGAAGGTAATGGTACCTTGGACAGCTCAGTGTGTATAGGGTGGATTGCAGACCCAAGTCCAGGTCCAGTGGCTGAGAAGACAAGCTGTGAAGGGCTAGGGTGAATTGCAGAATCCTAGAAAGGGCGCTGTGAGGATTTTGAGATAAAGCCCTGAAAGAAGGCCAGGATGGAACAGATTATTGGGGAAATGACATAGGAAGGGAGTAGTAGTGAACAGTAAGGACTGACATTTAGGGTACGTCTAGATTACATGCCTCTACCGACAGAGGCATGTAAAATAGGCTACCCGACATAGCCAATGAAGCGGGGATTTAAATATCCCCGGCTTCATTAAAATAAAAATGGCCACCGCGCTGTGCCAGCTCAGCTAATCGTCAGCACAGCATGCGAGTCAAGACGCGGATCAGTCGACAGGGAACACCTTTGATGACCACTCTCTTATGCCTCGTGAAATGAGGTTTACAGAAGTGGTCATCAAAGGCGTTCCCTGTTGACCAATCCGCGTCTTGACTCGTGCGCTGTGCCAATGATCAGCTGAGCCGGCACAGCGCGGTGGCCATTTTTATTTTAATGAAGCCGGGGATATTTAAATCCCCGCTTCATTGGCTATGTCGGGTAGCCTATTTTACATGCCTCTGTCGGTAGAGGCATGTAATCTAGACGTACCCTAAATGTTAGTCCTTACTGTTCACTACTACTCCCTTCCTATGTCATTTCCCCAATAATCTGTTCTTCTATTTGCAAAGACAGAAGCAGAGCAAATCTTAATTAGCAATCTAGAATTTCAACTGTAAGTCCAGCTCAGATTTTCAGGTCTTGTCAAATCTACTTCCCTTTCCCACAAATACAGCCTTTCTTCACACCCACCAGCACAGGAGTCTGCTGGGTTTGTAAGGAATGGTCAGTGCTCTATGCTGGGAGTGAGGAAAGCTGACACAAGTTGAAGCTCCCAGAGTCTATTCTAACTTAGAATCATAGGATTGGAAGAGACCTCAGGAGGTCATCAATTCCAGCCTCCTGCCCAAAGAAGGACCAACCCAAACTAAATCATCCCATCCAGGGCTTTGTCAAGCCAAGACATAAAAACCTCTAGGGATGGAGATTCCACCACCTCCCTGGGTAACCCATTCTAGTACTTCTCCACCCCCCTGGTGAAATAATTTTTCCTGATATCCAACTTAGACCTCCCCCTCTGTAACTTGAGACTATTGCTCCTTGTTCTGCCATCCATCACTACTGAGAACAGCCTCTCTGCATCCTCTTTGGAACCTCCCTTCAGGAAGCTGAAGGCTGCTATCAAATCCCCCCTCATTCTCCTCTTTTGCAGACTAAATAAGCCCAAATCCCTCATCTTCTTGTAGGTCAAGTGCTCCTGCTCCCTAATCATTTTGGTTGCCCTCTGCTGGACCCTCTCCAATGTATCCATATCCTTTCTGTAGTAGGAACTCATTTCAGGGAATGCTCCACCTCCTCAAAACATAAGGCACATAAAACCTCTTTTCTTCTCCTTCAGGGATGAGTCTCTTTTGTGCCTCCTGTCAGGCACAGCACAGGCCTTGATGCAATACCTTTCTCTCTGCAGCATTTGGAAGCAAGATAGCACTATGCTTCCACTATTCTATTTACTGCACAAAAATTTTAATAATGCACAATGAGGGTCAGTAAGAGTGCACAAAGCAGAATGATGGCACAGCATTGTGATGGGTACAGTGAAATGGCAGATTGTTAAGGTTATGTCCAGTTAGTTTTGGTTGGCTACTGTCAGCATCAAAAGACAGGAAAAGTTAGACAAGGGCATGGGAGACATTAACTCTGAATTGCCTGATTTTCAGATGTACGTTTGTCTTATT